ATGTATATGTGTGTGTGCGCAAACCTACATTATGTCTGCGTCTGAGCGTATTTGCACACTATCATTGTTCTTGTCTAAACCAGAGAGCAGACATTAACCTCTGGCCCTCCATATCTACTGTCCAATGTCTGTTTTTAATTGGACGACTTCCAGTAAGGCTTCTTTTTTTTGTTTTCTCTGTTATTTTGACACTTTCTCTGCCACGCGTGCCAATGCTGCCGCGATTCCAAAGGCCAATTTCCTCATTATCCAACTTGCAGCACTTACGGGAATACAGAGGTGGGGGTGAGGAGAGTTAAATTTGGAGGGAAGTGGAAAAAGGCCTGATGTGGTTTTCTCTAAAATTCCGTACAAAGCGCGAGGATGAGCTAGAGAAAGGCTGAGAGACTCTCGTTTTTCTTCCTTATTCTCTGGCATTCCTAAATTCAGCTGATCGGCATTAAAACAGTACATTAAGGAGTGAACGTTAAGTTAGGTTAGTGTCACGTTACTGACCGACAATCCCCTGTGGTTTTGTTACATGATTAATCTGAGCTGAATCATAACTGCAGTTGCCGACAGCCTCTCGCCATCAATCACTGGCACAAACTTTGCCATTAGTAATCACAACAAACATCACCGAGCACAGCGACTTCCTGCCGTCTTACTCACGCTGAGTGCTAATCAAAAAATGCTAAGTGTGTTTAGCCTTAGCTTTGACAGTATTTGTCTGGAGTGTGAATCAACATCATGGGCGTCACTATTTCATATTCATGCCGGGGCCCAATGACACCTTGTCCTCTGCTTTCCGAAAGGCCTTAACTCAGCAGATCGCCACCCCCTTAGACCCAGATGTAAAGTGAACAGTCTTCACCTCTGTGACATCAGACCGCCACAATATGCCATCTTATGGGACCAAGCCGTCACAGAGGACTGACAAAGACCACGGCGGAGCCAAAAAATCCAGGAAGAACAAATAACCAAGGTGATTGTTTAGGGAGGAAAAGGAAGCAACTACATATGTTGTGTGTATGTGATGTGAAAAGTGTATTTTTCTTACTCCATTTATCAATATTTTATAATTTAATGTGATCAAATGTATAATGCATGGTACAGTTCGGAAAATGGACACTTGGACAAACATCAGTTAGATTAAAAACTTCCAAGAATTTTTTTGAATTTTTAATCATCATCCATGTCCTATCCACTAACTTGGAGAAAGATCTATACTGCAGCAAGCCACCAGGAGGCGATGGCGATGTTTTGGATTCACTTTTGGGAAGCAGTTAAGTTGTCTATCTTTACAGTCCATGGTGGTCCCACTGGAGTCTAGGGCATTGGAGGGTGCAGTTCACTTAACTGCCCTCTAGGTTTGTACAACGTTGTTCCAAACACAAATCTGCATATAGACGCAAACAGGAAGTGTGGGCAGAAGTGCAAATTGCCACAAATGTAACTGCAACACAGAGGTGAGCCTTTAGCCACTCAATCAATCGAGTACATTTCTAATAATAAGTGAAAGACAAAAATCTCTGACACAACAGCCACAGTGAGCGACAAGCTTTTGCCGATGCCACGTGACCTCACCTTCAGTCATCGTCTAGCCGGCGTGGTATTCTTTTCTTATGTACATGTATTAAGAAAACCGATGACTAACACAGATGGTGGAATCAAATGAGTCACTTGAATTGTATGGCTATGACATACACACATCATTGTCTCCGCTGGTGTGGGTTTTTTAGGGGTCTCCTGTTAGCATTCCTACCAAACTGACTCCACAAGTATGACTCACGGCTTGTTACCCTCAGACGAAGCAGACTTTGCTGTGCTGGCTTGTCACTGGCTGTAGCAGGGGAATCTGGGAGGATGCTGCTTAGTATTTGGGGTTTGTCTGACTCTGTCTCGCCAGTCTTAAGCAGTCTGACTGTGTATGTGTGTGTGTGAGTGCGGGGTAGACAGTTGAGTCTGTCTACTCTATGGAACCACGATAAGATCTTAAAAGCCAAAGAAAACATGTTTCATAAACACAGCGGGCTACAATCACCCTACTCCTGTGAGGATGTGCTCTACGGTCACATCTAACTAACTTACACCCAGCAGGAATATCACCTACATTACAGAAAAAAGAGGACATACTTCTCCATACGGCCACCAGCATGTGTTTTTGTTTTCATCCTCCGAACTGAAGCAGCATTCCTTTTCTGTGTGCAGCGCGAGACGGAGAGATTGCTGGAGAGTGACTCACTAAAACCTGACCCAGCAGTGAGGTAATCACTGGAAGACGCTTGGAGTAAAAGTGAACTTTGATTGTGATGTCTGGGATCATGTCTAGGAATCCCCCAGACAGTTTGAACTATACTACAATGTGTGCATGTGTGGGAGGGCATGACATAATTACTGTGCACCAGACAGGGTCCTGGTGTGTGTACGGCCTCAGGATGGAGACACAAAAACCCATTACAGAATCTCTCCACGCAGTCTTGATAAGACGAACAGATACACATGCTTAACGCAAAAGTCGGGCTGCTGCTTGATTTATAATTCTGTCCTGAGATTCTACATTTCGAATAAATTCGAATGAATGGACTTTAATTACTCTAGATTCACATATGAATTTGTTTATTTGAAAATTGAGTGACTCCATGTATTTAATTTGCAGAAGAAATAGTCCAACTAATTTGATTTGAAGAAAACTTTCTGTTCTGTTGAAAACAGGACACTTTTCTTAAGCAATAAATCGACATTCTTCTACAGTTGGGTCCTGCTGAGATGTAAAGTTTGTTTTGCTCTTGTGTTCACACACACAGACACACACAGACACACACACACAGACAGCAGACATTGTTTGTTATGCAGCATCACCTGCTGGCATAGTGGAGAACTGCCAACATTGAAATCGCCAAAGGACAGACACACCAGCATTGCAGCAGCAGCAGAAAGAACCTTGTTTATGCCAACACAACAACTTAGCAGAATTTAAACTGCAAGACTTATTCTATAGAAAGAAGCCACATCACATGAATCAATGTATTCACTGAAGCATGCCACAGAAACTCGAAAATGAAAGATCATCCTGAAAAGAAGATAAATCACTAATGACTTTGCCTTGTGTCACAATTTTCCCAAATTACTACTGACAAATCTTTAAGATAAGCTTTGACACAGTGCAAAAAAATGTAGAGGACTGTGGGAAAGTGGCTGAGGGATACCAGGAACCTGGACACTTGTCCTAAAATAGTCTGACAATGGCGGGTAAGACATCTCATTCCCTGCCCATTCTTGGATCACAAGAAGTCCAAACACCCATTTTTGGTCCATTTTGGGTTTGGATCGCTCATTCATCATCGCTGAAGCCAACTTATGAATGAAGACATTTCAGTCAGAGCCCGAGCGGCATGACGGGAAACACACTTCCAAACAGAAACAGAAAAAAAAAGTTCCTTTGACCAAATATTGAAGGAAAAAACGATACTATGGAGCGGAATGATCAACAACAAAACGGCACAATGCAGCTTCATTGCAGCTGATATTTACTATATGTGACACAACTAATTATTGATTCAAGGCTGAACGACTGTAAATGAATGAAAGAATTAAAAACCTAAATATAAAATATAAAGAAGTAATAATTCTGCATCCAACACTAGAGACACTAAAATAAGATTATCATATGATACATGAGCATAGGAATAATATGATTTAACATTATTTGAACAAAATGCAGAATAATGTATCTCACCTCAACAAAACAAACATTAGCAAAACAAATGAGGAAGGTTTCTGTGTGAGTTACACAGGCACCTGGTCAAATGATTCAAAGCTAAATATTTACCAAGTTTGGACTTTGTAGAAACTCATTCTTTCCACGCAAACTGGTGGGCAAGAGAAACATAGTGAAATACCAGACCCCATGTTTGGGTAAGGGGGCCTCCAGTGGTTGAGTGAGCTTTGACCTAAAATAGGTCTGAGAAATGTGGATAAGCTCTATGAATAGAGATAAAACAGACTGTGGAGGGGAAAGAGATAAAATAACTTGAGGGCCTGAAAATAAACCTCCAGACATCAGTGCAGAAAAATGAATTTTATGCGGACGGCGGTTTGCAGAGGGCATGGGAAAAATCTGCCTGGATGGACGAGGAAACGTTGGTTCTTTTGAACAGTAATGCAATTATGTTGCCAGAATGTGAAGTCTGAAAGGATTTGTGTAATTTGAGATTGGCCTCTGACAACAGGATTTGTCCCGTATTGTGTGGGGGACTTTATGAGAAGGCTCCATGCAGCCGAAGGGAGGGAGGGAGACAAAGGGCCCAACTGTGAATTATCACAAATTACATTTATGGAATTTTTATGAGTAGAATCTACAATCCATTTGACAGATATAAAAATATCTTCAGATGAGAATTTGGAATTCTTAGACTGACTGTTCTGTTGGTCTGAAGTAAGCTGTCCTCGGATCAGCCAGTGGAAGGCAACTCATATGTTTATCTCAAATAAAACGTTATAAGACTCTAAAGAGAGCAATTTGTTGGAGGAAAAAAAAGATTTATTTAACCCAGAACTTGTCAGATTGAGTGGAGGGCTGCAAGTACCGAAACTTGCCACTGGAGGGAGGGCCCAGGCTTTGAACACACCAACAGGATGGTGAAGAACCAGATCGAACTGAAACCATCATAAGATCTAAATTTACTCTACTATTATAAAAATGGATGACAAACATTAGAGAATAACTATGAGACCAAATCTCTATACTTAAGACACCTTAATAATAAGGGGAATAAATTAAGAATATTAAATCTATAACTTTCCAACTTCATATAAAAGAACACGATCAGAAAGTCAAACAGTCGTCTGTGGGACATGTGTATTGTTTGTTAGTCAGAGCTGGTGTCTGGTGCGTCTCAGTGCGCACTGTTATGATCTGCGCTCTCCTGCGGTCCCTCCTCCACCAAACGTCAGAAACTACTGGTATAAAACACATGCGAAGACACAACGAGCGCTCAAAGTCTCACACAACTCTTTAAACCTGCCATCCTGCGCGCTGCCTCCTCACAATCACACACACGCAGATTTTTAATGAGAACAGAAGAGGAGAACTGTGCCAAGCTGCGAGACGACTTCAATCTACCGGACTTGCGCACAAGAATGCAAAAGAAAAGCGTGTTTGTGCCTCTAGTGATATTTGCGCAGGATAAATTTGGGAGAGTTTCCTCTGCTCGGGACTTTGATTTGGTTTGATGGGCGCACACACGCTTGGATTTCTGCTGATAACAACGGGGACTGGAGAAGAGCGAATGAAGTGAGGAGTTTTTCATCATCAGGTTCGGAGGAAGTTAAAAAGAAAACAGCGGCGGGGTTCATCAGCTTTGACTCGGGGGCTGTGAAGCTGCACATTTCTACCAAACCGAACCAAATGCAGAGAGAGAGATGCATCTGGGCAAGGCTTTACTGTTTGTCCTCCTCCTCAACTGCGCGACTTTGAGCTCGTCCCTGTCGACTTGTGCCACCGTGGATATTGACCATGTGAAGAGGAAGAGGGTCGAGGCGATACGGGGTCAGATCCTGAGCAAACTGCGGCTGACGAGTCCTCCGCACTCCCTCGGACCGAGTAAAATCCCTTATCAGATCCAGGCGTTGTATAACAGCACCAAGGAGCTACTGGAGGAGCTCGGGAAGGACCGGCAGCAGAGTTGCGGTCAGGACAACACCGAGACAGAGTACTATGCCAAAGAGATATACAAATTCAACATGGTCTACGGACCGCCAGAGAGTAGTAAGTATTACCGCTATTTAGGCAGCAAAGTTTCTGTCACTTTGTGGTTTAAGGCAATCAAGGCGTCAACTGTGCGTAATTACGCACCGATTGAAGAGGCTGGTAGGCGCGTCAATCTTAAACTGCACTTCTATGTCATGTAGTAACTCACTTTAGACAAGTTATGAAACGTATAAAAACACATTGAATTATAATGTGTTTGATATAAGGAAATCAGTTGCTAAAAAATAAATAAAAGTACAACTACTTTTCCCATGAATCTATCAATATGGAAATATTCTTAAATCTCAAGTTTAACTGATGGATACAAAATGTCTCATAGGACAGAGAAACTTTCCTCCTTCAGCAGATGAATGTGAAATCACTCTTCTCAAAACTCTGCACTTACATCATTTTCAAAAATACTGATGTGTCAGAACCGGTCAGAACCAATGACCTCAAGCACTTGAAGGATGTGCTTCGCTCCTGTGACGCTCACCAACCTGTTTTAACCTTGTACCAGTGTTCCAGGAAAGTCACTCTCCTCCTACTCTTGACTCCAGTCTTCCTCCTCTTGTTTTTTTTTTCCTCCATGGATCCTGTCCCTCTCCCCAGATGTTCCCATTTCCTTTCCAGTCAGGCCCAAATGAGAGGGACATCTGCCCAGGCAGGCAGAGGGGGATGCCTGTAGGAGAAGGAGCATAGGAAAAGTTAACAGAGGTGGACAGGGAAAGTTAGATGATGGAAGGACCTCCCTGGTTATCCTGGATAGGGGATCCCTCTCTCCCCAGGATGAGTGGGGACCCATGAAGCCCTCGCATATGACACATCATTACCACCCACGTCCCCATTGAGACAGAGCTTTATCTGCCTGTCCTGGCCTGCACACCGGGAGCCTGTGAGCATGAGATCACTAACTGCAGTCCTCAGGTTTAACTCTGCTAAATTGTCCGTGAAACTAAGCCTCCATCCTTCCCCTTGAATGTGAATGATTCCACGGTACAAACATTTTATTGCTCATAGTATAGCATTAGGCTATATTTATTTATGTTGAACTTTTCCTCTGTGCCACAATTTTCTCTATATAATTAAAAGCTATGAAGTTGAGGAAGAAAACGTTAGCTGAGAGGGACATGTGTCAGTACTTGAGGGAGATTCATACAGCATGTGGTCCGACTGAGGCAGGATTACTAAGAAAGTAGAATAGGATAAGTGCTGTGCGTGTGTGAAAGCCGGAGAGGGCCTCATGGTCTAGAGCAAAGCCAAGACCATTGCATCACAGTCCCTTTGAAATCAACAGGTGTTTCTCAAAAAGACCTATTTTTCCCTGAGCGATGTTCTGTTTCGAATCTCACAAAATGTTTTTTGAATAAAAGCGGCGGGCAGTAGGTGACTCAAGTCTGTGTGATGGTTTTATATTTGGAGTCACAGATGGGCTTCAGACAGATTTACATGTAAAGTGGGTGATGACCACTGTTTCTTTTAGTGTAATCGTATATGTGATTGAAGAACAAATGGGAAAATGGCTTTGTAGCAGAGCTGAACTGCCACATAAGTACCTCAATGTGTGAACCAGTCATCATCTTGACTCCCGTTTTTTGCTCCGACGAGCTTATAACTGTCCTATTGGCAGTTTTTTAATTTGCCAGTGTGATCTCATACCAGGAAATATGTATTCTGTCAAAAGCGTGTACAGTAGATCCACATATACACACTGAGTCCGCTCACTGAGACCGGTTAATGTGATTTTCATATGTTGAAGCAGGCAAGATACAGAAAAAACACTTTTTAGATTCATTGTGCTGAGCTTTCACTCTGCTCTGGCAGGGACGACTCCGGATTCTGACAGTTGAAAAGAGACGTAATCTGCCAACAGATTAACACAATATATTGTGAATATATTTGACTTTCTGAATATTTTGTATCTTTATCATGTTTGTGGTTAAATCAGGGAAGTTAACACAGTTCTGCAACCTTTTTATTCAAGGTTGGTATTTGTTGTACTTGGAAACTCACCTCTATTGTTCTCTCAATTATGAATTTTGAATGTTTAGACACAAATTGTGCCAAGAGCTGCACAGCAAATGACAAACAAATCATCCCCATCAAATGATGCTCTATATTTAGAAATTCCCCTAAATAAATTGAGAGAGCCATTTTTTTAATGCTTTTGATTTCACCTTTATATACCACATTTAAAAGTGTCTATCTTGCCATTGTCTTGTATCTTAATTATAACAATATCATACCCCATAATACCTGAAAAAAAATGTTTCCCCTTCATCATAGTATATAAACATACTGGACCCAAAAATACAACAAAGAATGGAGTAACTGCAGACTCCAGTGGGTAAAACAACAAAACACATTGATGGTCCATTCCCTTTATAATGACACATATAGCATTTACTGATCTCAAAAAATAAATCTATTTTAGGATGGCATGATGCTGTGGTTAACGCTTGGCTAGAGTAACGGAAACATCTGATAAGGTTAGAAAAGCATTCACTTTAACTTAGTTAAGGGCGAGAGAGAGATTTAAAAGACGGATCCACTGTCTGTTGAATTCTGAAGTGAAGCTGCCTCATCCTTGCTTCCTGTTATAACTACTGCAGCCACTAGAGGGCTTTGGCCGTAACTTGAATGTTAAAACCTGCTCTCACACATGCACTGCGACCTTCAACCTTTCTGATCAGTTAAACTAGACATAAAACAGACTTTTTCTCTGCCAGCTATCAAAGTCAGTGTAATGTCAGTGTGCGGAGAATTCACAGCGAGCGAGAGGGCGTGTTGATGATGTTTCCTGCCTCGAACAGCAGAATGAGAGTGATGCTAGTGGTTATGTAGACACAGCCACCTTAGGGTGTTGCCCTTTACGGTACACCAGAACTAGACCGCTGACTTTGTGGAATCAATGTTTGACTCGGAGCCAGTGATTTCACTCTCTTCCTTGGTTAATGTGGGCGAACAAACACTCTCCTTGTGAAGGCTTCTGAAGGTAAACTGTTGACCTTTGGTGGGTCCAAGGCAGCTCTACGAACCACCGCAAATCAGTGACAGGTGCAAATGAAGCAGAAAGCTGACGGAGGACTGGCAAATTACTGCATTGAGAGAGCGGACGGCAAACGTTTGAAAGATTTCCTTTTATAGCATGGTACGCATACAATCTGGCATATGTCAATGACTGACGTCGGACGTCGTCATCATAGTCAGAAGCCGTTCAGGTCCAAAACATTGTCAGTGGGACTGGGGATAGGGTTTTAGATACGCAGACACAAAGAAACTTTTTCATTTCCACCAAATATAGACAAAAAGTGTTGGAAAGTACTGAGGAATTTTGATAAGGAAGGCAGCAACACTAATCATTTCCCTGTGGGCTGATAAACAAAGTGCCAGCCACTGAAGAGCCAGTAAACCCAAGTTCTTGTTGTAGGTGTGAATGGTTTTATGAGTCTTCCAGTATATAATAAACATGGAAATCTATACACTTACTTTAATAGTCATGTTGGACTTTATTTCCACTTAAATTGAAGCAATATGGTGCGTCAGACAAATTGAATACACACTGCATTGTCATGTAGAATTCAAAATTGTTACATTTACTGCCAACTCACTTTGTGTTGTTAGTTAATAGAGCACATTACCTTCTTGGAGCATAATGAAATAAAGTTTCTCTTTTATCAAGTGGATAAAAGTTTGATCCACACACACACTTCCTCCAAACTATTCCTCCCTCACTAGGTCACACGGCCACATTATTATATATTTTCAACTTTATATTAAATCATTTATTACTATAAACTGTGTTGTGACTGAGACGCCAACAACTGTTGCTCTGATTAATTGAAGTATTTTTTCAAGCTACACTGCTTAAATTCAGAAGTTTCAGCTCGTTAACTGCAACGTTTTGATGTTTCTCTTTGTCCCATTCAATGGGAAAATAGGTAGAATGGTAAAAATAATTATAATTTCATTCAATGTCATTATTTTTACCAAGGTTTTTTAACAAGGTGAACATTCTGAATTACACAAATCTTTAGATTAGATAAGAGTCAATATTAATAAAAATTAATAGGTGATTCTTGATTGGTTAATGCTGCACAACATCAGATGAATCAATATCAAATATGTTCTCACATACATGACTCACATAAAGCCAGAAGAACTTTAAAAAGCAATTTGTTTTTGTCACAGTACAAAAAGCACAGATTTAAAGAATAGAATTCAAGCTGTTCTGAAAACCATTTAGCTGATCAGGTTCCGGCCTTGGTTTATGGTAAATCAAAATGTCTGCTGCAAAAAAGGCCTAAGAATAGTTTAATTTCATCTCTGAAACTTATGACAGCGTTTACACAGTGAGCATCTGAGATCACGTTGTCGAGAGGTGATGTTACTGTTGTCTGGACATGTGCTGCTGGGTTTTGCCTCAGATCCTGATAAGACTTTTTAAGCCTGTTCTCTCACTAAACTTTTATTTGACTCTCTCTGTTCCAGACGATGTGCTCTATTGCCTAAAAGGCATCACCTCTAAGGTTTTCCGCTTCAACGTCTCCGCCATGGAAAGGAACTCAACCAACCTCTTTAGAGCGGAGTTTCGAGCTCTGAGGATGCCAAACTCAAGCGCCAAGAGGAATGAACAGCGGATTGAGCTCTACCAGGTGTGTAAAGATACAGTTTCCTCGTCCTCCTACAAAGATCAAACGTAGAGCTCACCGTCAAGTCATGTAATCTTTGTATGCAAAAACGTTATTAGATTCTAGTCTGTCAAGAATACATATTACATAAGCTGGTTACTTGTTCTCCACCACATAATTTCAGACCCTAATTGACAAAGCGAGCCAACGACAACCAGATTGTGATTGCAGGCGTGGGTAACAGCCAGGCCAAAAGCCAAAAAGCTCAGCAGGCCTGCAGAGTGTTTGCAGAGCTGGAACAGAGTTACTGTTAGTGCAGCACTGACAGGCCAGATCTATTATGGTCCCCATTTTGGTTCTGTAGAGGTTTTTACCCTTCAGTCCTCAGGAGAGTATGCAAACTTAATTAAGCTGTTAAAAAGGGGGCTCTGGTCTGCTAAGTGATGGGATGATGCAACCGCTTTTCTGAGTTGTAGGAAACGTCATCGAGACCTTGGTATTCTGTCCTTGGCTTAACAGATCAAATACAAAGATTGCTATTAAAATGAAAAAGAACAAAAATACCACAATCCTCTTGTCAGGAGTGGTATTGAATTACTTTTTGGCGATGAATATTGATGTTGTAAATATTGAACCCGAATATCAGTTTCTGTTACTATCTAACATGACATGCATGTGATGCAAGAAGAGAAATCCGACATGACTGTAATCTGATCTACTTTAATCCTCACCAACATAACTACAACAAAAGTTCTCAGATCATCGGTTTGGTATCAAGCAAGTGAATGTTTGCAGATGAGCTTAATGTGTTAGTCATGCAAGCAAAGGTGCTTTTCTACCAAAGAGTTGAAAGTTAAATCAGCTTTATTTTATGGCTGATTTCAAAAAGAGGGGAGAACAAGAAGCACAATACTAAAAAAGCAGCAATGCCACTATGAGCAAACTGCATTTAAAGCAGTAAAGTAAGTATTGGCATAACATATACTTAAGTACATGTTGCATTTCACGACTGAAATTCACTTTTCATCCAAATATATTGAAAGAATAAATGCACATTGTTTAATTTAAAGTAAACTGGTAGTTTGTTCCCACTGAATACATACCACAGTTCAGTTTATTTTCAAGCAAAAGTTATGAACTAGACATTTTTTTTTAATGTTTAGATTATATAAATAAAACTTTGGGAAGTGTGAAACCAGCAAAGAGACTATGAAACTCTGCAGCTCAGCACATTTTTTTTAGCCTTTAGCTTTTTGATTTGTTCTGACAGGACACATGGCTAAGTAGTATTGCTCCTTATAACTTTGTTTTCACCATTAATGGGCTCCTGTTGTCAGAAAACCTGTTTGATAAAATAACTGTCCTACCTGAGCAAGACATTTTCTTTAGCACCACCAGGCAGACATTTGAGGTTAGCATCTGAAGGTATCGCTGTGTCTGAACATTCATGTGATATGGGAGGATGGCAGGAATGATTCTCACGTTTCTGACAATCTATGAAACGTGCAAGAAAACTGTTAGCGAAAAGCATAGTGTAATTAACGTTAATTGAAGTGAAATGTCAGGGTTAAAAACAATGAAGGAAGTGTTCCACCTTCTACCACCTTTAACAATGGATGTTGGCTGACTGCAGACATCCACGTTTGCTTGCTTTTGCAGCCACATCCACACTTTTTACCACCAAAAGGGACATATTCCAGATTCAGAAAAATTCAACTTTCCCAATTGTAATTACAACTTGGATGCTGGCGTAAATGCTATTTACAAGTGGGAAACCAGTAATTATGGTAACTCCAATATAACATGGAGGTGCCGTTTGCAGTTGCACAAAGGCATAGCATAGCTGTAGCCTCTTCTGAGAATTGTATTATTTAATCTATTGTTATGTTTCTCTCCATTTCTTAGCCCATTAGATGATTCAAGATCAAAAGTATTATGGACAATTAAACAAAGTCATTAGTTTGTCAAGCAACAGCTTCATCTTGTGCCACTAACTATCTGCTGTGTTCTGCTTGTTATTCTGTTGAAGCTGTTTCAGTATTGAGAGAAAACTTTACAGAGTGACTGGTTATTATTGCCCTGCAGATTGTGAGGCCAAATGAACACATTAGAAAACAACGCTACATTGCAGCCAAGAATGTGCTGACCAAAGGTACTCCAGAATGGGTCTCCTTCGATGTGACTGAAACAGTGCGGGAGTGGCTAATGAACAGAGGTGAGACCGAGGTCACTGTCATAAACAATCATCAGTTCTTGCGATTGTCCAAAGTTTAACCTATTAGTTTAATGAGACAAAAACCAACTTTGACAACCCTCTTTTCTTTACTTGTTTTTCGTCAGGAAGTAATCTAGGCCTGGAAATCAGCGTGCACTGCCCCTGCCACACCTTCAACCCAAATGGGGACATCATTGACAATGAGCATGAGGTGCTAGAGGTGAAGTTCAAAGGTGGGCTTCAAAAAAGTTTTGTCATATATTTATTTATGCCAGGCGTTAGTTGCTCTGATCTGATCTAATAACTGTAAATGTTAATGTCTCCTTGCCAATGTCTGTTCCTCAGATTCAACTTTCAATTTAAATTACTTTATTTTTATAATTTTATTTAAAATGATATTGTCTCTAATTTCATAGCTTCTTATTAGCATTTTGTAAAATAACAGGAATAAGAGTTTCATTTGTATGAAACCATCATGTGAATATATCATTTTGCAAATTGTACACTTAAGATCAAGGGAAATTATGAAATTAATCTCCTTGATCATGTCTATAATTAAGGCGTGGATATAGATGAGGAGCACAGTCGCTTGGATCTGGATCACCTGAAGAAGAAAAAGGAACAGTACCTGCCTCATCTCATCCTCATGATGATCCCCCCCCACCGCTTGGACACTCAGTACACCCGCCGACGCAAGAGAGCACTGGACACAAACTACTGTTTCTCGTAAGGGATAAATGTATTACCTTTAGAAATTAGCAAAGAGGTGTTTTATACACATATTGTAAAATCCTTAATATATACTGCAACATTATGTATCTGGTATACCCAATGTAACCAAGAGAGTATTAAATGCGTTATCAGCAAAGTTAACAGAGAGACTGATTTTGCTAACAGAAACACGGAGGAGAGCTGCTGTGTTCGCAAACTCCACATTGATTTCCGACGTGACTTGGACTGGAAGTGGATCCATGAGCCCAGTGGTTATGATGCCAACTACTGCTCTGGGCCCTGCCCTTACCTAAGGAGCTCAGATACGACACACAGCTCGGTAAGGACGACTCCACAGCAATTTCGAACACAAGATCTTGTGAGAAAAGAACAAAACAAAAGCCTATTTTCTCCCTTATTTTTAACTCTACACAGAAAAGGCCCCAGCTGAACCGCAAATCAAGTCATCAACAAATCCCCATATAAATTTTTCAATGTATATTTAATTGATCTTTCGGTCATAAAGCCTTTTACACTGAACTTGTCCGTAAATTATAAAGAGTCCTTTACTCAATAAATACTAACGATATAAAAACGTACCTAGTTGTTGTAAAACTGTAAGTATTGTTTGAAAGTGAGTTTTCATCTCTCCTTTGTACTTTCCTATAGCTGCTGAGCCTGTACAACACCCTGAATCCGGAGGCATCGGCTGCCCCCTGCTGTGTTCCTCAAGACCTGGAACCTCTCACTATACTCTACTACTCTGGACGAACCCCGAAAGTGGAGCAGCTCTCCAACATGATTGTCAAGTCTTGCAAGTGTAGCTGAGAAGACACTGAACGGCGAGTGGCACGATTTCTGCTAGGTACTGACCAAACCCATGTGCTCTTCTGGACTCTTAGCTGTGACAAATACTTAAACTGACCCTGTGGACTTGTGGCTTAGACCTGAAAGGTCCCACTTTTTTTTCTAAGGATACAGATTTCTTAAAACTTGAGCTAACCCTTTCCTTGTTTTGTATTTTTTTCCCCACCCCCTCAGTCTGTTCTTAGTGACGAGTAGTTATGTTAATCTTAAAAGGTGCAACCAAACGTAGTCTGACAATCTAGGTTGATCTTAAAGCTAGATTACAGAGTCCTGTTCAGATCTGTGACACAAAGAAACAATGACTGAATGAAAGAGACTTACTCTGTGCTATATTTTTTACTTCAGAGCTCAAGCAAATGTTCCACAAAGTTCAAGTCTACACTTTCAGTAGAGCAGCTTTCCTGTGTCTAGCCCTGGAACAGAATTGTTAATAGTCGCAAATGTAGACACCACTCTTCTGAATGGTGGAAGTGTCCTTTCTGACTGGATTCTTCCTTGAACTTGCCTTAAGCCCCCTTCCCTTCAAACAGTGGGCATTATCTTCAATCACAAAAGGAGAAAGGACAGACTTGCTGCTGTATCCAAAGCCATAGCTGTGGTCAGGGAAAAGGAGAGCCGAAAGAGAATGCTTGTTGGATTTGCAATGGAAAGTGAATGAACAAAGAAGTTGAGCCAAGCTTTTCTTTTTTTGGCCAGCCAGCAGCAATGGCCTTTTTTTTCGGTGCATCTAATAGAATGGATGGAAGAAGAAGAAGAAGGAGGAGAAGGAGGAGGAGAAGAAGAAGAGGGGACCTGTATGCAAGGGAAGAACTACGATGGAAACAAGCCATGAGCTCACTGACTGCCATTCACTGGAAGTTTTCATCCCTAACAGGTTCAAATTATTTTTGGGACATCAAAGAATATACTGGAAAAGAACAAGTCTTACGCAACAGTTTTTTTTTTTTTTTTATGGGATTTCTTTTACATTAATAGCAGATTTTGGTCTGTTATGCAACTTGTCATATAGTGATTGTTTCACTAACCTGGATGAAATTTGACGTATCTCCATTGGTGGAAACACTTTTATATTAAACCCAGAGTACTGATGCCTTTCCTTGAGATGTAAAAAGGAACTGAACTTTGTTTATTTTTTGTCTTGTGCAAAAAAACAAATTATTTTGAGCTGTTGTATTTTATGAAGGTTATGTTTGATGAAAATCATGTTGTATTAAAAGGTGACTGTTCCCAGATAGGTAAACAGGAAATGTAAAGAAATTTAAAATACAGGCCTTTTATTTTTTCTATTTTCTTTCATACTATCTTACCACTAGAGATGTTCCGATACCAGCATTGGAAATGCCTCTGATACTGATAAAAATGTTGAGTTGGGCATCGGAGAGTATGTGAATCTATGTACCGATCCGATACCACATTTTTAAAGTATTCTAGTTTCACCTAGATAAAACTGCAACTGTTTATCCGGTATTGTAGCATTAGCCAGAGCTAGCTAAAATGTCAATTTGGCAATATGTCACGCTGGAAAGTCCCACAAGTAAATGTACCATATGCATGACTTCAGTTTCAAGGGGTGGCACTTCTGTTGTCTATTACAGAACTTATGGCCAATTATAGGTCATACAACAATGATAGCAATCATCACTTCCACACAGGGCTAGTGGCAGACACACTGTTAAAATACAATACACAAGTTGTTTTTTCAGTTCACTGGTATCGGATCGGTGCTTGGTTTTAGAATCCGTGAGGGAAAATAGTGTATCAGAGCATCTCTACCTATCAACTCATCTGTCACCTTTCACTCATACCAGCTGACAAGCAATCACACGTGTACGTGCAGTCAGGACTCTGGTGTTCATAAAACACTGCACTCTTTCATTCCCTCTGCTCCGTCTCTGTTTGTTTTGGTTCTCTTTTACAGTGTGAAGCCCAAATGGAACAACAGAACGAAGCAGGCGGGGAGAGAAGCAGTAATGTGACAGTGGCTCAGTGTACACTTAGACCTCATCGTCCTCTGAGTCAGGAGAGCGATTCTGAATCCCTGTGCTGTTTGACACTGACCCCGTCAGGGTCATCTAGCCTTTAGGTGATGTTTAGATGATGTTTTTTTGCAGAAATATTGTTTTTGTTTGACTTGTTGATGATAATTGTTATTAAAAACACAACATGCAAAACCTGTGCGAGACCTTCTAAAGCCACAAGAATCAGACACAAAAACAATCAAATGTAATAGACCTGTGAAACCATTTAACTCCAAATTAGGGAATGATGAATTTACCCACTGGTCTTGTCTGCTGTATTGAAATACCATTTAAAACACTATTTTCTCATAATGTTTTGGTTCCATACGAACATAATTTCTCTTACTTGAATCTCACCAGTCCCACCTGTTTCCTGCAGGCGCATGCAGAGGCCCCTTTTTTTCTACCAGAGTAATAAATTCAACTTCTCCTTCTCTGGAATTGTCGCTTAACAGCTTTCCCAGGCGAAAAGCAATTACTCTTATTTTCAGAGCATATTAATGTGCAGACATCTCTTTATTTTCTTATTTTTCATGAAATGGGTCGCATAAATCACACCTAAACCTGAGAAATGGATTACACATCTTGATACCACCTTCCAGGTGTTATTCGTCCTCCAGTGTGACCCCAGCCTTATCCTTTAATTCAAAGGGAATACAACTCCAATGTTCAGTTTGACCTTTGACCTTGTGGAAAAGAGCTGCACAGCACCTGGATAATAAGGAGTTTATTATTGGTTGTATTTAAAAATGTCTGAAAATGACTGGATTGTAGAACCATTACATCTTATTAATGTGTTTTTAACTTAAGTACTGCAAATGTGATGACAACACATGAATCTTTAAGATTTTATACACTACAAAATTGATGACTTGATGTTAAATACATTATAAATTATTATTAAAGATAAAATATGGCCTGGTCGTCCTTTGGCCTAAAACAAGGGTCAGTATTAATAATGGCTTATAAATGACCTATAAAGCATGACTAAATGTTTTAATAATTATTCGTAGAAGGGAGTAGTTTGTAAAACCTTAATCAAGGTTGTTGTATTGGACATTTTTAAGTCACGCCAGCCGCTGGATCGCAATCAGTTGCACAGATAAGAGAGGGGAGGTAGTGGTGTGGGGCATTTATTTGAGCTAATATGGACTGACAAGTAGGCAGAGAGAATTCCCTGTCTCTGTGTGCCCGTTATTGTTCCCTGTCACAAGCAATCAGAGATGAGCCATGATGGAGACACAAAGACCAGAGGGCATGACAGGGTCTAAAAACAGGGGTCGGGGGGGCTTTAATGGCTTTGCAGACAGCCCCTGTACAAACAAACACACATTACTGATAAATGAGCAGCCGTGTCCCATGCATGATTGACTTTTTAACCTTCAGCAAAAGTCACTTACTTCAACTCCAAGTTTATGTGGCCACAAATGCTCAGTAATCTGCAGCTACAGTTTCCCCATTTACTTCTTCAAGTCAGTAAAATGCAACCAAACTGGGTGGTTGCTCTCTGGGTGGACTCCCAGTGAGATTAAGATAATGTAGCTTATTCTTCCAGAGAATCTTTTCCCATGTCGGTGTAATGGAAGCAGGCTGAGGGGTAAGTGATGCTGAGGCCTCTTCTGACAGGGGCTGTAGGTTGGCTTGGGTCTTTCTATTGATGCAAGGAGTCATTTTTGGCTCCCGTAGTGGCTCGCCACATTGTTCCGAATGCCGCCACACAGACGGTGAAAAGCTCACACAGCAGTGATGGGAGCTGCTCATCAAATGTGATAATACACGTTCTGTGTTATAAAAGAGAAACAGCAGATACTGTAATTATATCTCCTGTCTCTCTTCTTTGATTGCATACACACCATTTGGAAAAAAGGGAAACAAATGTCTGTATTCTGCTGAGCCTGGACTTTTATTTATAGAAAAACAGACACTAAATGGTGGTTTTTAAGATGCAGATAAGAACACTTTTTTTCTACTTTTGGGGTGAAGCTGGCCACCTCAACCCCAAACCTGCAATAAACCTATTTCCAGCTGCCAGCTACTGGATGAGCAAGCCACAATCTGATTCAAGTTCAGGGTCCACTCCTGGGTTGGAGTCTGACTTTCTCAGAACTTGTAGTCTTCCAAGACTCACCAATGATGAATTGCATGACACGTAAATGCACAGAGGTTTGGAAAACTGTCTGCCGCTATTCCCTGAGCAGATTAACAGATGTGGTGGAGAGAAAAAAATGAGAGGGGGAAGTGAGAGACAGAGAGAGAGAGAAAGTGTGTGTGTGTGAGAGAAAGAGAGAGAGAGAGAGAGAGAGAGAGAGAGAGAGAGAGAGAGAGTCCTCAAAAGGACTGCTGCTGCAATAAAATCATCAGGTCACATCAGACTAGTTCTCAGGCCCCAGGGTGGAAAGAGTTGTGTAATTCACCAATGGGAAGAGCATGAACACACACACGTCTGGAAAAAAGTGAAGGGGTGAACAAATATGTAAACACATATCAACTTCATAGACCTTTATAGCTAAACAAATGAATGGGAGGTCTGGATCAAACTACATTATATTACAGCACAGTGTGTTTACGTGACAGTATTCCAATAATAGAGGGATGGTGTGTGCTACAGAGAGAGAGTGAGAGAAGACAGAGATAGAGAGACTGTAAGAGGAAAGAAGGGAGACGGAGACAGTGTGAGGTTGTAATTTATAGAGACTTTGAATACAACATCATGCTAAATGTATTACTCTGGACTGAACCGAGCCAAGTTCGCAAGTTTGAATTACATAAACAACTACCGGTTTAGAAAAGCCAGAAAAAGAAAAAGGTGCGTTGATGAGATGTCAGGAATTCAAATTCAAAATTCACTTGGCTAGACATGAAAACACATTCCTTGTTTTGTAAGGTGAATGCTGTATTACTTCTGTTTACCTTTCATGGCGATCACAGATTAAATAGCAGACGCAGCATTAACCTGTTACGGACCTGCCGTGCAGTGCTGTGGTATCTGTTAAAGCTTTAAGCACATTATTTGTCACTCAGACTGAACTTCAGTATTTAAATAGCTGTGTCCCACAAGAGCCAGGAGCATTTTGAGGGACTCTGAGGGTCCCAAGTAGCACCCCCCCTCCCAAGATACACATGATACATGATATTCTTCAAGTCTTCAAAAAAAAGCCTTTAGAATTGCGCAGCTGTAATCTGTTTCATACAGGTCATGATACCTTCAGAAGTTGTACCTAGAAAGTCCAGTTGCCTATAAAGACTTATATCTGAAGATTTTAGAATGTTTGCATCCATGGTGTCATTCTCCTGTACATAGCCAATCATAGAATTTAAGTGGTTCTCACAAAATTGTCGTTACTGTGAATCGGCTGTTCTCAGTTGCCTAACATGCTCATGACCGCATCCTTCAGAGGACTCAGTTTACCCAGTCAACGAGAGCTTTGTAGACCGCAACTGAAATGAGATGGTCTGGTGTACAAAGGACTTTCTCTTTACGTAACTAGCTTGTCCTGCGCTTACCACTGCATTGTTAGCTAGCTAATACTGCTGTATTTACTGTAAGCTGAATGCCTACATAGTTACCTTGTTAGCTTCATCACTTGCATGCAATGAATTCTGGGAGAAGTTTCTCAAGAAGGATCCAGATGTTGGAGACCAAGGATGTGGCCCCTGGGTGGGGACCCAGCTATTGTCGAAACACTAACTTAAACAGTTTCCCCAACCAATGCAGCCTGCCGCTCTGATTTCACACAGGGCTTTTAATTCTACAGCATTACTTGCAGCTTACGTAGACTAATGTCTGCCCTCTTTAGACATTTTGTTATGTTATGAACATTGCATTATTAGTTCTAAAAATGTTTATGCTACTGAAAAAAAAGATTTTATAATTTCACATTATTCTGTAATAGTCATTCATGGTGAAACTGTTCCACCCACAAATTACATTGAAAATACAAAAAAAACGCTTTAAGTAATGTACGGATCTGCTAAGTCACTGATACTGAACAATCTGCAAAACCTTGACTGCAATGTTATGTTTTCCGCTTGTGGCGATATAACATCTACTCTCACTGTTTTTATGTTTATGTCAAGGCACCCGCAGCACTTGATAGAGTTTATGGGGGAAGATCTTCTTGTCTTGGTAAAATAATAAAAACTTCAACAGTGATTTGAAGCACAGGACCAGATGTGTTAAGTTTTTCATTAAGTTTGAACAAAACACAATCTCTTCCTAAACAAAGTGTTTATGTTGCCCAAACCCAACCACACGTGGGAGGCAGAACTTGAACCTCTATTAATGTAATGTCCTGGTAGATATTGCATGACATCAAAACTACAGTTTCATCCTTACAGACTTGTTTCAGTTTTCAAATGATCCTACAGAGGCTGTATAAATGATGCCAGTACTTACATCATGACACAAACAGGGCATCCTAGTCACACACAAACAGTCAAACGGTTCAACATCCTGTAATAAAATGATAAAAAGGATTTCTTTATTGAGGACTGGGGGGGGGGGGGGGGGGGGGGTTAGGTTTCCTCCAGCTCATTTATTTTGTCTCCTTGAAGCTGTAAACACCTTCTCCATTAATATCACGCCATAGGCCCCTGCGCTTTACCTGCGACTAAATAAACTCTCAGAGAAACTTTAGGATTTTAAGTATCCTGTATGTGCATGTGTGTTCAGCTGCTGCAACATGTTGCACATATATGGCTTGTGAGAAAAAGGGAAAGTTAAATCACGTGGACACCTGAGCAGTAATACTTGTTGGATGACACTCTAGGTAATGGTAACGCTGTCCGACTCCCTCCACACTCATCCCAGGAGAGTCGAGAAAGACTGATGAGGGAAGTCATATCTTTAACGGCCTCTTATGCAGCTGCCTCGGCTCAAACAGGTAATGGAGACGGTGTCAGCGGGGCGCTTCTTCCTGCACAAGCTCCATGATGATGACTTAAGTGGTTTTGCTAAGTTTATTGTCTTTCTGCCTGTCTGAGAATACTGTACGTTCTCACAGTTACTGGGGATTAAACCGGTGAAGAAAGCTATGCAGTGGCCCCTCCACAAAGAAGAAGAGATTTGTAATTCTTGGATAAAGACTGACAAACACAAAGCCTAAAGTCACAGAGTCAGTGACCTTCAAGAG